GGTGGTAGGTGAGTCGTCTGAGTGTAATTTTTTCCATTAATTTGCAGCAAATATTTGTTAGGGAGATAGGTCGGTATTTTTTTTTGGGTCATCAGCAGATTTGTCAAGTTTTTTAATGGGAATTATTGTTGCATTTTTACAGTCTTGAGGCAATTTTCCAGTTTTCCAGGAGTTATTGAAAATATTAAGAAGTCTTTCTTTGCCAATTTTGCCCAAGTTTGATATCATTCGGCCATGGATTCCATCTGGCCCAGGAGTCTTATTTAGGTCAGTGTTTTCTAATGCATAAGCTAGCTCTTTCATATTGATTTTTTTCATGGAAAATATTATGACAACAACAACAACAACAACAAAAACCTTTATTAAGACACTATTGTCTTACAAGGGGATTCCCCTAAAAAGTTATATATGTACATGAGTGAGGAGGAAAAGCAATTTAGAGGGGAGGGGGAGCAATCAGCCGTTGTCTGTGGAGTTGAGCACTTCTTCTCTCATTTTATCAATCGCCTTGTAATATTTAAAAAAATTATAAACAAATGTTTTATCCAGCAGGAGAGTAGTGAAGATTTTATATACATGTTGTTCATTGTAGTGAGTTGGCCCCGAAATTTCGCGAATTTCCTGTCTCTTTTCATGTAGGAATGGGCAATGGAATAGGTAGTGGACCAAATTGTCTTGGATGTCAACATTGCAGAAGTAGCAATTTAAAGGGTCGCTGCTCCAAATTCCCGTGATATCCTCGCGGAAAAGTAGCCATTTTCATATTGATTTTTTTCATGGAAAATATTATGAGTGCTGGTGACATTTTACAGTCATGAATAATCTTTCGGGCCTTTTTTCAACCTTGATTTTACTACTTATTTGATATGAATTACCTAAAAGATTGGCAGCAATTTTGTCATTAGTTGCTGGTGTACCATCTGTATTCTTTATCATATTTGTGTTTTCAGTTTGTGGCTGGCCTCTGTCAATTTGTTTTGCCAAATGCCAAAGTTTTGTATTTGGGTTTCTTGGGTTCAGGTTTTCACAAGTTTGTTTCCATTTTTTCCTTTTCACATTTACGTATAATCTTTTTATTTTTGCAATCACAATGTTCAGTTCAGTTCTACAATTTGTTTGGTTTTGGGTGCACTTTTTGTAGTTCATTTCTTTTAGTTATAAGTGTTTGAATATTTTTTGCCTGGTGCGTATAATTTGGAATCCATTTCTTAATATTACCTCTTGGTATTGAAACTTTGGCTGCTTTAATAATGGTGTTTTCGAAAGATATCATATTAGCCTTTTTGAAGTTCCAGAATTTTTCTTAATTGAGCTAGTTTTGGTCTTCGTGCTAATTTTTATCAAATTAGGCAAATGATCACTTCCAAAACTTTTTAATATTTGCTATTTGCATTTGTGGAAAATGTCAGGATAGTAAAAACTTATATCAAGGGCTTGTGCAGTATTATAGCTTGTAGGAATGATGGGTAGGATTCCCATCATTTAAGCACATGAAGGCATTGTCGTCAAATATATTTGATAGTATTTTGCCTCTTGGGTTTGGCGTAGAACATCCCCATATTTTATGTTTGGCATTAAGGTCACCTACAATAATAGTATTGTCTGTAAGAAATTGAGCCATTGTTCCATCGTCAATAAATGTATTGTTTGGAGGGTGATACATATTGTATATGTTGATGGCTTTGTTCTGATTGAGGTAGACTTTGATACCTTGGGCTTCGAGGTCTAATGTGTTTGTAATATTAACGGCTATGTCCTCATAGTACAAATTCTTGATTAAAAATTCTAGGCCACGCCCTTTAACAGCATATACAGATGGATCTTCAGACCTTACCCTGAGTAATGGAGGGGCCGGAATTAACATAATACTGCAAGATGGAACAAACATCAAAATCAAAGAAGGAGCAGGACAGATTTCGTCAAACTTCACTTGTGAACTGACAGCTATCTAGAAAGCCCTTGATGTATGCCTTAACTAACCATCCCTGCATCAAGCAGAAGGAATTTTAATATACAGCGACTCCATATCCGCTCTAGAAGCAATTCAGAAGGGCAATACTAAAATCACACAGAAAATGCACTCGTTACTTACCCAACTCGAACCATTGGTGAATAACTGCATTCTACATTGAATCCCTGCCCATGCTGGGATCGGGGGTAATGAAATGGCATTTGAATTGGCAAAGGAAGCCAGAAAGTTGAGCCAAAGGAAAGAACAAATGTCATTATTTGACGCTGATTCTTTGTCAAAATACAAGATAATTAAATAAAAAAAAAGAAAAGATCAAAATGCGAAATAAACTCTGAGAGAAAAATGACAAAAACTATAACAAGACTTAGAACAAAACACTATAAAGGAATGACAATACATCCAGATGGCACAAGAACCTATAGGGCATGCAACAATTGTCCTGGTGTGGAACTTACACCTACCCACATATTCTCATAGCCAGCAATGGCCGCAGCCTTGCTGAAATTTGACATAGACCCTGAGCAGCAGCTTTACACACCCAAGATAGTGGACATTGCTGCTGCTGTGATGGAGATGCATGGATATATCTGAGGCTCTTTATTGGACACGACAACAACAACGGCATTCCAGAGTAAAATAAATTATCAGAGATAGATACATATTTTTCAAATGAATTAAAATAAATATAATCGATGCTGAGTGAGAGTTGAATTAAAAATATTAGAAATTTATTATCTTCGGAAACAAACCGTATCTAAAATATCAATTTTCTTTTTGCTACATGTTTAATTTGCATTTACCTATTTTACATATCTCTGATTGTATTTGAAAATCGTTAACCAATTCTTCATACTTTTGGCGAAGTGGTGTTTTATTAATTTGTTATTTGATATTATTAGGGTTCTTTCCTGGTATTCAAAAAGGAAAAATACGTGTCGATCAGTTATATTTTTCAATTTATCAAACAATTTGGCCGCTGAATATCTGATTCTGGTAGAGCGCCATCTGGCGAATAAAATTGTAACTAAAATCAATTTCGAATTTTTAATTATTTGCCATAAAAAATCCCATTGCATCCTGAACACAATGGTGTTTACCGCATTGCTCTAGCGCAAATATTCGCGGAGTTATTAATTTTTAAAATAGTGCGGGACTTTTGGATCACCCTGTATATTGCCACTATGAGTCAATAAATATGTTTTAAATTATCTATACCTAGCTAGACCTTTTTACCTTCCGAAATAACTTTACTAGGTATCGCTCAAAAAGAGCAACCTAGCTTATGATATTTACAAACACAAATACAGCTTCACTGACAAAACCTGTCTTATAAAAAATTGGTATATATTATATCAGAAATTCATATTTTAGATTGAAATATTTCATAACAATATAAGGATAATAAATTTGAGCTATTTTTGACGGGTATGATTCTTTTTGAAATAAACAATTTTATACTGCCCTTACTGCAATGGTAAAATAATGGGAGAGCACATGAATCATTAGTGGATACCGCTGTAATTTTTTTTTATCAAATTGAGAATTAATTATAGATTATTTATAATGCGAAAATAGAATAATGAGAAAATGTAGAAGATCAGATGCTGATTGTTACAGATTCACCAAAGGAAGGGAGCATAGATGTAGCTCCTATACTTCAGACATTACAGAACTCAACAATAGCCTCCAGGTCTGACGTTATAACAGAATACACACATACAGTTTTATTAAGATCACCGGTCTTATACAGATTCACCACAGGAAGAAAGCATAGATGGAGTTTCTATACTCCAGGCAGCGTAGAACCCAACAACAGCCTCCAGGTCCGACACATGTCCAGTGGCCACAGAATCTACAGTGCATCGGTTAGCGTATCATTGAAAAGACGAGTGTGGAATCAGCCGCGTTTTAGTCTTCGCTTACCTCATCCAAATGTGATTGATATTTACAAAAATGAATAATATATGTGAATATTGTAGAACGACATTTGAAAATTATCCCGCATGTGTTTCTTTTGAACGAAAAATCGAAATTTATTTTAAGGAGAAATAACGATTATTTCTAACCTTAGTGATGAAGTATGAAAGGATGAATAGTGAAGAGTAATGATAAACGGAAAAATAAAGTGTCCAGGGATGGGTATTTTTCCGTTTATCATTACTCATCAACATTAAACCTTTCATACTTCATCTCTAAGGTTAGAAATAATCGTTATTTCTCCTTAAAATAAATTTCGATTTTTCGTTCAAAAGAAACACATGCGGGATATTTTCAAATGTCGTTCTACAATCATAAGCCACATTATATTGTATTATATGTGAAGGTTATCCACATATTAAACCAAAGTGTCCAATACGGGATTCAATCCTGGTCCATGGCTGTCGGGAATCGAGGGTTTTAACCACTCGTTTATCGACTTGGATAGAAAAGCCTTCATTCATTATACCGCATAGAATAAAAAATTGTCGATTACCTTTCAAAACAGACGTTCGAATCCTGAAATCTTGTTGTTGTAGGTTCCAAGGATTTCAAAAATTGAGAAACTCTCTATAAAAAGGATCGTAAAAAATAAAGATATAACAATAGAAGTATATTTTAAAGACATTTATGTATATAATTTATGTTTCAAATTATCTTATGATAACGACAATTTAGTTTTTTGTGAAGCCATTGTCTTTGTTGTCATTTAGCATTGTTTGAAAATGGCGTAGTTGTGTCTGAATGGGAAAACAAAATTGTTAGTCATTGAGAAATTCCTCTGGACATTTGAATGTTAGAGGGAAGGAAGTTTATGATTCCAACTGCCTTGCAGAACTATTTATATTAGGGGTGAAATATCAAGCCACCAGTATAATATAATGCGGCTTGTGATTGTAAAACGACATTTGAAAATTATACCGCATGTGTTTCTTTTGAATGAAAAATTAAAATTTATCTTCAAGGAGAAATAACGATTATTTCCTAGATTTAGGGATGAGGTATGAAAAAATGAATTGTGACGAGTAATGATAAACGGAAAAATAAAAGTAACCAGGGATGAGAATCGAACCCACAGTGTTCCGCTTACCGGGCAGATGTCATAACCACTAGGCTACCCTGGGATCCAGGGATATGTTTCTTTTAAAATTTTTATTCCATATATCATTATAATGTAAGACCGCACACCTCAGCCCAAATATTAGACTTTTTAGCCAACTCTGGCAAACATTTTCAATTAAATTTTAGCTTCCTTTGGTAAAAAATATATATCTATTTCTTACACCACAATAAATGAGATGTTTTTGACACCTGGAGATGGCTCTAGATAGGATTAATGGCGGAGTGAATGAAGAGAAGTCAGAAATGGACACAGATACCGTCAACCTATAACGACAACTGGGATATAAAAAAGTGGCCCGGAGCAGATTTAACGACATCTAACCGCATTAGCGGCTAGCGGGTTTATGGCCGTTTGACAGGATTTAACGGGGACGTCGCCATTCCTATACATTCTTTTTTATTGATTTATCGACTCACGCCCTGCCCAGAAGTCCTTCTCTACGTGGGGAGAAGCAGCATAAGTAAGAGACTGCCTTGTAGTACGGTGTCGGGAGCCCCGAGCCGCTACGGCAACCATTAAAGCCTACAGCAGGTATCAGCAAACTTTTGAGTCGGAAGAGAAAAAATTCCAATTTATATAAAATTTCAAAGTATTTGTGAATAAAAAACTGGTCAACAACATTTTTGCCCAAGAGAACCTGATGGTGTTTCTAGTGTAACTTTTCATGCTGAACTAAAAATTCCAATTAGAAATTTTCCATCACCCATGGTTATAATTATAATTATAGTTGAAGAATGATCATGAAAAAAGTATATGTCATTGATTTATTGAAGATTTTCCGAAACAGATAACAAACCCTTCCTACTAAAACTTACTATCCTGAAGACTTTGCTATGATAGACTCGACATCAATCACGTTCCCAGGTTACTGGCTAACGTCCATAAAAAAAGGTTTTTAAAGAGCCACAAATTTTTTCTTTGCCAACAATAAATAGTACTGTGAACAAATAGTACAAATGTAACATTGTACTGGGATATGGTTCATAAATTAAGATGCCTGAATGACCAGTTTTTTGGTCGTTGAGGTACAGCTTGCACTACACTGACGAGGGCCAACAGCCCGAAACGCGTACTTGGTTAGCTTTTCTTGATTAATCAAGAATAGGTATTTGGCCAATTCTGGAATAATTAGAAATCAATGAAAAGTTTATATTTATTCCGGGAAGAACACTTTAAGCGTCTACACAAAATAATTTACCACACTTTCTCTCGCAATACCATAGCCCCCCTTTTATATACAGACATGGCCACATTCGTCCAATGAGAAGACGGGAGAGATTTGTTCACTAACAAACGAAAAAAGTATTCTTCCCACTAAAAGCTGAGATAAGATAAAAGCCATCAGCAACTCTCATTTGTAAGATAAGAAGATTCCTTTTTCTTGAATAAATAGTACTCGCATAAATAATATTTACGTATGGAACTATGTAAAGAGCTTCACATCCAAAGAGCCGCATGTGGCTCAAAGTTTGCTGACCTCTGTCCTATAGGGAACTCTGAAATGTGGCTGACTAACGGGACAATGGCACTCTCCATTTCCATTGGACATAACACAAACACCACATCGACTCACGCTTTATCTTTTTTAACAATCGTATAAACATTATCATCAACAACATTATAAGTTATATAAACTTCGTCTTTGCCGGTCCCAATACCGGATGAAAAAGGAGGAGGGGGAGCAGTAACAAGCTCACTAAAAAACCTGGGCTCAGCTGGCCTGTAAGAGCTACAGGGATACAAGATGAGCAGCATTTGTACTCCATGTTAGGAGCGGCTGTACATGGCGTCTGTTCCTCATGCCAGAGGCGGCCATTTCTTTTGGAGCTAAGTCAGCCTGCCACTGAGTAGTGCTCCCAGTCTTAATGACAAAGGCAGACGCATTATATTCACCCAGTCATGATGGTTGTCAAACAGACACCATCAAGGGTCACAACTTGATACCCTAATATGATTGATTGGAGATAAGAAAGAAGAAGAAGAAAGATAAGTTATATATATACTGCAGCTCATTTAATTATCATCCAATAATGTTCGTCTGCGGTTCAATATGCAAAGTAGAGAGAGAGAGAGAGAAATCGATGTAATATAATATTATATTGTATAAAAGGTTAAATTTGAATATTCAATAAATATATCATTATAGGTCTTCAAATTAAAGATACTTCGGCCAGTAAATCTTTTTTATTTTCTCGACGTTTTGACAAGAATCTTTTGTCCTCGTCAGGACAGTTTTTTTTTTGTTCACTCCTGACAAGGACAAAAGATTTTTGTCGAAACGCCGAGACAAAAGATTTACTGGCCGAAGTATCTTTAATTTGAAGAACTATGAATTCCGGCCAGACAGCCTCTATCTTTACGATGTATCATTATAATTTGCGTAGGTTAAATTGATAAAAAAAAAGTTAATAAATATCTCTCAGGCTGAAGGCTACCATCTACAAGTACCATCTTGGTCTTTAGGTGGGTAACACCAGCCATCACATCGACCTGCCCACTCTGTGAACTCTCGCAGTCCATCGGTGGCGGAGTCTTTTCCGCGGTGGGTGCCAGCAATGAAGATCTTGTATATATTGTAACAAAGTATTTATTATTCTATTAGCAGAGTATTTTATTTTATGTTTATATTTTACTATATTCTGTACACTTCCCTCTTTTGCTTATCTTTTGTTTATCATTCATAGTTTGTTCTTCCCTGAAATAAATTGCTGTGGCATCCCGAAGTTGGACTTCCCTAATTTTCCACGTGGCAATATTATATATTATTATTGTATATTTATCATTTTTTATATTTATCTATCTATATATATATATATCCTATAACACAATATAATGCGGCTAATGATTGTAAAACGACGTTTGACAATTTTACTGCAAATGTTTATTTTAAACGAAAAATCGTAATTTATTTTAAGAAGAAATAACGATTATTTCTATCCTAAGGGATGAAATATGAAAGAATGAATTGTGAAGAGTAATGATGAATGGAAAAATAAAAGTGTTCAGGGATGGGAATCGAACCCACAGTGTTCCGTTTACCGGGTAGATGCCATGTACACTAGGGTAGCCTATATATGTATAAATATATATATTTTAATTAAAAAGGCATATATTGGATCAAAATATCATTTATATCATTTAATGTCTGTCATCAACATTAGTAACAACAACATTGTTGACACACATTAAATATGTTATAACACCTTGATAAAGGTTGGCGTTCAGCCAACTGAACTATTGGTAAAATAAATGATATTTTGATCCAATATATGCCTTTTTAATTAAAGATTTATTTATGGATTGCTCTATATAATATATATATATATATAAAGAGACAAGGGTCGCCTCTCCCGTCAAAATAGATGTCTAAAACCAGACGCCATCTATTGACCGTCGCCGAAACTAGCGGCCTCAGGTCGGTGACAAAGCCACAACACCAGCTTTGGCAAACTGAAAAGCGTCCACCTAGAGACCATGGTTTCGGGCTAATGGCCCTCGTCAGTCTAGGGCGGACTTTATTCCATGAGATCCACACGGGATCTAATAGAATCTTGACAATCTGCCAAAGAGGTGTTTAACTGGCAAAGTGGCTGGGCCAAATCTATGGCTAAAATATGTTTGCCAAAGCTGGTTTTGTGGCTTTGTCACCGACCCGAGGCCGCTAGTTGCGGCGACGGTCAATAGATGGCGTCTGGTTTTAGACGTCTATTTTGACGGGAGAGACGACCCTTGTCTCTTTAGATCAATTTCCTCCCGGCAAAATTTCCATATATATTTATATTTACCCTTATTTTATCTCATTTATTTATATACTAGCCGAATGACCCGGGCAACGCCCGGGTTTTACCCGATTAAATATTTTTATTTAAATACTATTCGTTACAATTATAAATTGGCGGCGTGGATGTCACTCTTGTGAAACGTCCCGCTCCAAACTTTGTGTCTGAGAAGCGATATTTTTATAGAAAGATGATCTGGCTTTTGTTTTCTGCTCGAATGAATGTTTTTCTGTTAGAATTTCGTTCCTGCGTACAAAATAATGAGCTGGTTTCACCCGTGGTCTCTGCTTTTTGGAATTTTTCCCGATATAATTTTGTATCTGATAATCTTACATGATACAGCAATATCGTCATCATCATTTTATGACTAATAATATATAGTTTTTTAATAATTGATTTATATATTTTTAAAATAGCCTATCGTCTTCCCCGTATTTTTTTTACCTATGTATCGAAATTTTGGTTTGAATTAGTGAACTACTGCGAATTTGTATACCGGACATACAAACCAACAAACAAACAAACAAACATTCATTTTTATATATATAGAAGATATAATATAAATGAGTTTTAAAAATTGTAAAAAAAAAAAATGCATCGGCCGGGAATCGAACCTTGGCCGCCCGCGTGGCAGGCGAGCATTCTACCACTCTACCACCGATGCTTTAAAAAAATGGCCATATTTAGGTATTCATTCCATTCCGGATTAGTCCGCGTAAAAAAAAGTTCTTCAAATGAAAAAAAGAAATAGCCAAAAATACTAATCAAAATGCAGCCGCAAATTTTCCTCAGGTTTATAAAAAGCGACATGCAAAATTTGGTACCAATTGGTTCAGTAGTTTTTGAGTTTATCGCGAAACAGACAGACAGACAGAAATTGACTTTTATATATATTTTATATATATCATCTTGCCATCATCTTTTATCATAATCTTTTTAATATCTATCATTCATATTTCATCGTTTTTATAATATTTCTATCATCTTTACCTATATATATGTCGTAAACCAGGGTAAGACAACAAGTGAGTTGGAAGCAGTCGGGGTTGAGTGGCAAGGCGTGCAGAGTGGGAAGTCCGCACGGGACAGTAAGGACAAAGTTTTGGATCAAAAGACGCTCTCCTAGTACGTCTCACGTGGCACCAGGACCAGGGGAAAGTTGAGGATTAACTGAGGAAAGCTCGGCGTCCTGCATGAAGCCGCGGAGGCAGGGAGGAACCAA